GGAATGCTGAGGCTTGCTGTGCCATGGCACTTGGCAGCACATCCCTGATGTGCCAAAAAGAGGAGGGGAGAAGGTCTGGGTTAGGGGAGGACGTTTCTGGGAGGGACTTGGAAGAGGTGCTGATCACCTCATGGAATCACAGGCTGGTTTGGGTTGGAAGGGACCATGAGGACAGTCTGAACTCTGGCATCTGATTCCACAGCAAAGAGCACGTCCAGAAGCGCCTCCTCACCCTCCTGCATGTCATGAGTGTCTTCCATGGCACCACCCGGCCTGTTTGGGAACGGGAACGGCTGCTGGGAGCTCTGGCAGCAGCACCTGGAGGCCAGGTAAAAAGAGCCATGGGATTGTTTTGGCTGCTGCTGGATCTGGTTTTTTCCAGATGTCCCTCTGATTGATCCATTTCACAGTGGGTTCCTAGGGCACATTGGTGGGTGATTCCAAGAATTTGAAAATAGTGGGAAAGCAGTGGGACAACATGTGAACTTGATCCATTTCTAGTAATTCCAACCTTCTCCCACAACATGGCTCTGGGGGAAACCTGGTTAAAGAGTAAGGATGCAGAGGAACAAGTGATCTAAAACCCCCTGGCTCTCTGTCAGAGCAAACCTGGTCATTCCAGTGGATCTCTCTTTGAAGCTGTGGGATCATAGGGTTTTCCAGGAAACAATAACAAGGACAGAGGTGAGGTCATAGGCTTCCAGTTCTAATGATTTGATGGACATAGGAATGATCCTTGTATGTTTTACACTCCCTTTTTTTTTCCTGGAATAATTTTAAAATGATTCCTGTAACAAACCGTGTGAATTTGGGAATTTAAATTGGAAAGTAAACGGTGCCAAATGAATGGCAGGGAGAGCTCACAGAATCCTCATGGAATACTGGAGTGGTTTGGGTTGGAGGGGCCCTTAAGGATCATCTTGTTCAGGGATACCTGCTGCTGTGCCAGGTGGCTTCCAGCCCCATCCAGCCTAGCCTGGAATGCTTCCAGGGATGGGGCAGCCACAGCTTCTCTGGGCAACCTGTGCCAGGGCCTCCCCACCCTCCCAGGGAAGGATTCTCTCCTAAGGTCCAATCTTTGCTGTTTTTCCACAGGAAGTGGGCTGTGACAGGGGAATTGTCTCCAAGGTGGCCCAGGACCGGGGTGGGCTCTGGGGATGATAGGCACCTTCCCCCCCACTGCCAAAGAGCTGGGAAGGGATAACCTCTGCCTGCAGCTGCCTGGAGTTGCTGTTGGCCCTGGGCTTCCTGTGCCCCTCGTGGCCACGGGCTGATGGCAGGATCGCTCCAGCCTCGGGACAGACGGCCTGAAGGCGAGCCCTGGGGCCTGTGCGGGGCAGGGCTGCCCCTCGGCCCCTGAGCACCAGGGCGTGTGGACGGAATGGACCGGCCGGGCTTTGGCAGTCTGGGCCCTCGAAAGACTAAAGTGACCTCTTCCAACAGGGGAAGACTGAAGCAAGCGGTGCCAGGAAGAACTGGAGTTTCTGGGGAATACAAGCTGGAAGCGTGCCCCTGAAAATCCCCGTCCCCTGGGTGGTCAGTGGTCTGACTTGCACGGACCGGTGGCCTTGGCCAGGAGTGGTCCTGCCGGGCTGTAATTTTAATTTCCACTGGGTGCTGGCAAAGCCCCCCTGTGGGTGAGCCCCAGTGCCTGGCAGGAGCAGAGCGGGCTTCCAGGGCACTCACTGCAGGCATTGTGTTGAAGGGAAGAGCAGGGGAGCCTTTCTCTGACCCAGAGGAGCTGCAGTGTTCTTTCTTCCTCTGTGGAAGAATAAGAAATAAAAAAATAAAAACCAAACGAGAAAGAGAAAAGAAAAAAAAAGAAAATGAAAAATAATAAAGAGAATACAAAATAAACGAAATAAAGAAGGAAATATAAAATACGAAAGAAAATTAAAGAAAAAAATAAAAGTGAGCGAACTAAAAAGGCAATAAAATGAAAAGTGAAATGAAAGAGAAAAAAAACCCGTCTTGGGCCCCCCGTTTACTCCCCGCCCCGCCCTCCGCCCCGTAACTTGGGGGTCACCCCTGACATGTGAGAAGGGGACCCCAAAAGGTGGGTGGGGGAACCCCAGGGAGCCGAAAAAGCGGCGGGGGGGGGGGAGCCGCGAAATGTGAGGGAGGGGCCCCGGCAAAGCGGGCGAGGCGCGCGCTGTGACAGAGCGAAACGGGTGGTGACGCCGGCGCATGCGCAGTCGTTGGCAAGACGCCGGCGTTGACGTAGTAACTGAGGGCGGCCGGGCAAAGGGAACCGGCGACGCATGCGCACTGGCTATCGTGCCGCTGCATTGCTCCCCGCTCGACTTCAGGGCCGGCTCCGGCGGCACGGCGGGACTCGAGGTCTCCCGTCTCTCCCGGGGTGTGCGTGGGGGGAATAACGTAAAGATTTTTGGGGCGAAAGCGCAGAAATTAGCGAGGGACGCTAATTCGGGTAAAGTCGGGCACCGGAAGTAGAGAGCAACCGGACTGTTTTCGGCGGCGCACCAGCAAAGATGGCGCCCTCCAGAACCGGAAGTCGTCCGAGGCCGCCCCGAAAGAAAGATGGCGGCGCTCAGCCCGGAAGACCTCCAAGGCCGTACACAAAGATGGCGGCCACAGCCCGGAAGTTCGCCCCCAAACCCACAGTAAAGATGGCGCCGCCAAGACCGGAACTCAGCCCAGACCACACTAAAGACGGCGGCTAGAGGCCCCCTTGCCTCAGAGAGGCGTCTATCCTGTTGCCTGACCTCCGCCCCGCTCCCGCAGCGCCGTCTCGCCGCGCTGCTTCCCCCTGTGGGGACAGGGCGGGGCGCTCGGCGGTGCCGGGCGCGGGCGGCGGGTTAGTGGGCGGTGGCAGGCACCGGCGGGACAGCCCCCTCTCGGCGGTCCCGCCGTGCCCTGGAGATGCTGTGATTGTGTTTGGGGAATGCTGATTGTGTTTCCCCCACTTTGGCAACGCGGTCATTAAAAAGAGAAAAATAACAAGTCTATGGAGATGCCCTGCACTTGGGAGTTTGCGGCGCTCTGGGTTAAATCTTGGCTCTCTGATGTTAAAACTGGGGGCGAGGGGCGGTGGCCGAGCAGGGCCAGCGGCGGGGCCGGACGGGGCCGGCCCGGGGGTCCCTTCCCCGCGGGGTCGCAGCGGTCCCCTGGGGCCGGGGAAGGGCGGGTGGCAGCGGCGTTCTTGGGGGGGGGGCCGGGCGGGGCCTGGGGCGGGGCCGGGGGGCGGTGCTGCGGGGCGGGACGGGCCGGAGGTGCCGGGTGACGGCGGGGAAGCCGCGGCGGGGCCCGGGGGCTGCAGCTCTCTGGCTTCCCGGCTGGCTTTGCAGACATTTGCCACCTTCAGAGGAGGCACAAATCCCCGCGGAGCTGAGCGAGGGGTGCGGGGAGCGCAGGGAGCTGTGACCAGGGGAGGGTGTGCGCAGTGCCCCAAAACCCGCACCCCAAACCAGCCCGAAACAGCCCCAGAGCCCAGAGCGAAGCGCCGCGGGATCGCGCCGGCCCCGCCCCCCGGCCCGCCCCCAAGGACGCCGCTGTCCCCTTGTCCCCGCTCCCCTTGTCCCGGGAGAGCTCCCGGCCGGGCCGTGCCCGCGGAGCTCCCACCCGCCCTTCCCCGGCCCCAGCAGCGCCCGCCGGGGCTGCGGCGGCGGCGGGAGCCGCGCTGAGGGAACGGGGGGCGGGGCCGCGCCGAGGGGCGGGGCCGGCGGAGCGGGCGGGGCGGGGCCGCAGGGACAGGCGGGCTGCGATTGGGCGGAGGCGCTCGAGTGCTGATTGGGCAGCGCTGCCGGCCCGCGGTATAGAAGGGCCGGCGGGGCAGGTGCGGGCGGTTGTGTGTGAGGGCTGAGGGTGCGGCCCCGCTGCTGCCCGGGCTGCGGAGGGGAGAGCGCCTTGGCCGCTGGGTTTATGGACCGGGGGAGCTGGGGGGCGTTTAGGGGCGCCTTGTGCTGGGCGGCGGGGGCCGGGTAAGCCCGTTACCTGCCGGGTGAGCATGGAGGGAGCCGTAGCAGTGCTGCGGGGCTGGTGCTCTCTGGGTGTCTCAGGTTTTGCTTTGGAATCCCAAAGCCTTTCCCCGTGCAGGGTTACGAGGCAAAGACTGGTCTCAGTTTCTTGGTGCTACATTAATGCTTTTTGCTCCTTTTCTGTCCAGTTGTGCCCTCAGTTGGGGCTCAGCTCAGTTCAGTGCCCAGCGGCTGGTGGAGTGTGGCGAGTTGTGCTTCCTGCCGGGCGGGAGCTGCCTTGGGAAGCTGCTCTGTACCCACGGCTGTGCCGAGCCCGGGAGTTCACACAGGTAAGGGCAGGGCCCGTCCTACCAGTGAGAAGGGAATTTGGCTGTGGGAGGATGGAATAGAGTGTGTGCCTGTTAGCTCCGAGGACAGCCAACAGCTGGGAGAGACCCCAAGCAGATTTGGTGCCATGAGAGCAGCTTCAAAAGACCTTGAGTGTTGGAGAAACGTGCAGGACAATTGGTTCCCTTTTTTCAAGGAGGCAGTTGGCAAGGACAGGGAGTTGCTGTGCTCTCTAGCAGAAATACTCCCCTTGGGATGTCCAGGGCGAGGAAATGTTGGCCACGTGTGGGCTGGAGCAAAGGTGTGTGGGTGCCTGTGTGTGACACCCGTGGGTGTGCAGGAAGGGGGTTCTGGTGCCATTGGAGCTGCCAGGGAGCCAAAAAGGGCACAGTTGTCTGAAAAAGGTGAAAGCTCTGTTGGCCTCTGTTGACACCTGCACCAAAGGAGATGCAAATTTTCCCCCTCTGGTTGCAGGCTTCACAAAGCTCCCAGGAAAGGAAATTTTAAATTCCAACTCACCTTTAGGCTAAAGGTTTCCTTGCTCTCTCAGCAGGGTGTCGAGTGCCACCGTGTCCCTGAGGTCACCCTTTCTGCTGTTGGGAGAGCACGAGGTGGATGGAGAGGATCCCCAGGCATCTGCAGGCCCAAGGGACTCGTACAGCTGTGATTTTCCTACAGCCCTTGTAAGATAGACTTTGAGGGTACCATGGGTAATGTGCCAGCTCTCCTGGTGGAGTTTTTGTCTTCTGCTGTAACTGAACATAAAGAGAAAAACTAAAGTCAGGTCTGTTCTGGAGTGTTACACTTGTGCAGAGCTCCTTCCCTCTGTTTATTTTCTGTTCTGGAAAGCACAGTCTGGGATTCCTGGGCACTTCCTATTAAATGATTCTCTGAAAATAATTTTGTACTGAAAGGGGAAAGGAGCTGTCTGTTTGAGGTCAGATATCCCTAATCAGAGCTCTATGTTTTTCACTCAGGAAGCTCTTAAAATATCTGAGAGTGTGTAGGAATACCTGGCTTCTAAAACTCACCAGCTGAGTGTTAGAGGCTTCTTTGAAGAGCTGAGTTCAGGCAGCAGAATTGGCCCC